ATTAAGCGTTTTGCCGATGCGGCGGAAAGAGAGGCTTGGATGGCCGGCGTTGCTTACACCGTTGGCTTGTACGATGCAAACACGGAGAAGGAGATGACGGTATTACATTCCATGCCGGATGCTACGGAGTGGAACAGGGAATGGGTGCACGGAAGAACGGGGCCCGTCACGCAGCCACTTGTTTTTGGAGTTGTGCGGAAGAATGAAACGGAAATATGAGGGGCATTCCAAAAAAAAAAAAAAAAAAAAAAAAGGACGGACAACACACGGCTGGGCACGCCGTCTTCAGTCTGGGTGGTTGGGTGGAAGTGGTCGCGGCGCTTCCACGGCCGTGTGGTCATGCTTGGTTGTGTCGCGACACCGATCCGGGGAATGCGAGTTTCCTCATTCTCCACACTGGCCCAAGAACAACACTTCAGCGGAGAGAAAAGTGTACATTGCCGTTTTGTTTCTTTTTTTTTTTTTCCCTCTCCCTCCGCACTACTCATTTTTTTTCTTTTTTTTTTTTTGTATTGTTTACTCCGCTCCAGGCGGCTGCTGAGGCTTTGAAGTTTCTTTTCTCCCGCCCACACACTTAGACAGGAATCTTTAGTTTCATCACGGCCCATTGCATGGTTGTCATGGAACAAAAGGACGCGGTTGGCCCGCGTTCGCCCGGAAGCGGTCGTATCCCACGGCGGGGCTCTTCAGAAGATGACGATGGCGATGGTGTTGTCGGCACTGTCAAAAGTAAAAACCAAGCAGAGCGAAACCGCCCAATGCGATTGGGCGTGCGACCGCACTATTTTCTTCCTGGTGACATTGTTTGGGTGCGCCCCGCGGCTTTACCGTATTGGCCGGCGGAAGTGGTTCAAGCGGAGGTATCAACGAACAGCATCACCGCGCGTCTTTTTGATCCCCCGGCGTTACTCTCCTTGCAAGCGGATGGGAACTTCTCGCGGGACCACGTCACGGTTTCTGCGACGAAGGTGTTTTTCTTTGATCGTCTTTCCACGCCAGAGGAGGTGGAAGTGTGCATCGAGCAGCGGCTGCAGCGGACGACGCACAACGTGTCAGCGTACGAGGCGGACTTTCAGCGCGCTGTTCTCCATGCCAACCGGTTAGTGCGCATCGTTCTGAGCCCGGAAAAACTTCAGCCGCGCCTTATTTGCGGTGTGGGGGTGGTGCACAGTTTGATGCGGACACACATCTCTGCCCCGCGACAGCCGCACACGACAAATTTCACTCCGCAGACCGCCGTCATTAAGCTGCGGGTTGGTCTTGAGAACGCCGTGCGGGATCTGCGTGGTTTTGAGTTCATTTGGGTGTTATTTTTATTCTCGTACGCCACGGATGCAGACGAAACGGGAGATGCGAACGGACCGGGCGTTTTGGACGCCCTTCAAGGAGGAGCTCAGCGGCGACGGCGACAAGGCGCCGAAAACTCAGCCGGATTCAAAACGATGCTTGTGCCACCACGGGACAGCCAGCTGCGTGGGGTCTTTGCGACGCGAAGTCCGCACCGGCCAAACTTTATTGGTATCTCATGCGTGCGGCTCGTTGCTGTGCAGGGGCTGGAGGTTCACATTGCCGACCATGACCTTCTTCACGGCACACCGGTGCTGGATATTAAACCGTACTTGCCATACTGCGACGCCCACCCGAACGCGAAGGCGGGATGGGTGGAGGAATTAGAGAACTCTGGCCGAGTTGGCGCAGACCACAAGTATGACATGCAGCGAATGCAAGTGGATCGCATCTTTGAGGATGAATGAGAGAACGCTTTTTGTTTTTTTTCTTCTTGGCTGTTTACGCGCTTATAACCACTGCGTTTAATAGGTGAACTACGGAAAAGAAAAATAAAAGAAGGCCTGGTGAATGGGATGGATGCTGTCTTGTTTCTCTTTTGGTTTCTTGGTAATACCGGAGTCATAGGCGTACACATTTTTTCTTTTTAATATAAATATATATATTTATGTGAGTGCTTACATGTGGATAGGATTGCTTCCTCTTATTCTGTTCGGGCTTCCTTATAATGTATATGTATGTATGTCTTTTTTTTTTTTTTTTTTTTTTTTCCCTTTTTCTTTGTAATTATGCGTGGACGCCTTGTGACACCCTGTCTTTTGGTGTTGCCCTGTTCTCACTGCATGCGTCATGAATAGTCCGCGGCTTTATTTTCACAAGGCGGTGTTATCCTTTTGTAATTAGGCACTTGAAAGACTTTATAGACACATACTCTTTTTTTCTTTGGTTTCTACAGGCATATATATATAGAGAGAGAGAGAGAGAAAGGGAGCCACCGATTGCTTCTGGAAAAAGGCGGAATTTTTTTTTTTTTTGGGGGGGGGGAGGAGGGGTGGCGGAGACCAGAAAACAAAACAAAACGATTGGGAGGCACCAATTAAAACCTGAGCCGTAGAAAAGGGGACAAAATTATTGAATAAAAAAGGAAGAGAGAGAGAGAGAGTTTGTGTGTGTGTGGGTGGGTGGGGGAAATAAAAATAAAAATAAAAACAACAACGAAGGAGGAGTATAAAAAAAAAAAAAAAAAAAAAAGAAAAAAAAGAATAGAACAGAATAGTAGTGAAGGAGAATGCCACCGAGAGACATCACAGGAAAAGGTTCGGCCTGGGATGAATTTAAGCGCAAGGCTCACTTAACCTACCAACGTTACCTCGACAAGACTGTGCCACACCGTGCAATGCGGTGGGCCATGTTTGGCTTTTTGTTGATGTTTTATATTCTTCGTGTGTTTTTTCATGGGGGCTTTTACGTGATTACGTACGGCATGGGCATTCACTTACTGTACCTTTTGTTGCTGCTTGTTACGCCTCTTGCAGAGGACGAGTTCGCGGAGGACTCTCCGCTTCCACGAACAGCCGCTGGTAATGATGGAGAGTTTCGTCCTTTTGTGCCACGTGTTCAGGAGTTTGTGGTGTGGAAAAGCATGTTTCGTGTTGTATCCATTTGTCTTTTCCTGACTCTTTTTAACTTTCTTGACATTCCTGTTTTTTGGCCGATTCTTCTTCTGTACTTTATTGTACTGACAGTGACACAAATGGGCAGTCGCATTAAACACATGATGAAGCATCGCTACGTTCCATGGAACGCAGGGAAACCGAAATATGTAGCAAAAGCCACTACATAATTTTACCTGCATTCTGGAAATGGATAGGGTTTTATTATTATTATTATTATTATTATTATTATTATTTTATTATTATGCATATTTGTATTTATGCATTCATCTCTCCGTCTTTCTTTCTTTCTTTCTTTCTTCTCTCTTTTTATTGTGTTTTTGTGTCTCCAAAAATAAATGAAATATGCGCTATATGCCTTATTATTATTATTATTATTATTATTATTATTAAAATACATGACGGACACAAAATATGTATACATTTACTACAAATAAGGCCTACGGTTAGGCGCAATGATGTTGCTGCTGCTGATGATGATGATGATGGTGATGACTGTTAAAATAAATAAATATTTCTCCTTTTTGTTTCTACTTGATTCCTTTAAAATACATTACACACATGTGTACTCTCACTGTCACTGCCACTGTCGCCGTGTGTGGTGTTGCAGTTGAAGAAAAAACAAAAAACAAAAAGAGGAAACACATAAAGAAAAGGAAAGAAGGAATTGGAAGGGAATTTACTGGCGTTGGGCGATTGTGAGAGTACGCAAGGAGCGTTAAGAAATGGCAAAAGAAAAGGGTGCGTGTCAGACGGCCAACACCGTCCGTGTGAAGGATAAGGACAACGAGGAAAAGGAGATTATTCCCCTTGACCAGGACGATATTGCGCTGCTAAAACTTTACGGCTCTGGCCCTTATCATGCACCAGTGAAGGAGCTGGAGGAATTTGTGAAAACAAAGGGGGAGGAGGTCAATAAGCTAGCTGGTGTGAAGGACAATGAACTTGGTCTTGCACCTCCTGTGCAATGGGATCTCAACAGTGATCAGGAGGTGACGCGCTCAGAAAATTTTCTCCACGTTGCTCGCTGCTCCCGTATTCTCAACAAGGGACAGGCAGATGCAAAGTATATTGTAAATATTCGTGACACCGCCAAATATGTTGTGAAACTCGGCAATCGTGTTGCTCCGGAGGACATTGAAGAGTCCATGCGGGTCGGTGTGTTGCTGGGGTACTCCAGTATTCACATTGAAATCCCACTCCCACCCCGTATTGATCCCTCTGTGTCTATGATGCAGGTGGAGGAGAAACCAGATGTCACATACAACGATGTAGGCGGTGTCAAGGATGTGATTGACCGTATCCGAGAGGTGGTGGAACTGCCGATTACACATCCAGAGAAGTATACGCAGCTTGGTATTGATCCGCCAAAGGGTGTTCTCTTGTATGGGCCACCAGGTACAGGCAAGACACTACTGGCAAAGGCCGTTGCAAATCGCACAGACGCCACGTTCATTCGTGTCATAGGATCAGAGCTGGTGCAGCGCTACATTGGCGAAGGTGCCCGCATGATCCGTGAGATCTTTCAACTGGCCCGCTCAAAGAAGGCGGCCATCATTTTTTTTGATGAGGTAGACGCCGTGGGTGGGGCGCGTGGTGGCGGTGACGGCGATGACGAGATTCAACGCACGATGCTTGAAATGGTAAACCAGATGGACGGATTTGATTCGCGTGGCAACGTGAAAGTCATCATGGCGACAAACCGCCCGGACACACTCGACCCCGCCCTCACGCGTCCAGGCCGCATGGACCGTCGCCTGGAGGTTGGACTGCCAGATCTCGAGGGGCGCACAAAAATTCTGCGCATTCACGCCAAATCCCTGTCGTGTGAAAAGACGATTCGCTTCGAGCTCATTGCGCGTCTGTGCCCAAACGCCACCGGCGCAGACCTGCGGTCGGTGTGCACGGAAGCCGGCATGTTTGCCATCCGAGCCCGCCGCAAGACGATCAACGAAAAGGACTTCCTTGATGCTGTCAACAAGGTGATCAAGGGGCACCACAAATTCAGCGCCACGGCAAAGTATATGGTGTACAACTGAGACCAAACTGGAAAGAGAATGAGAAATCAATGAGGACGAGAGGGCAAAAAGGGGGGAGAGAAAAAGAGGAAAGGATGAAGAGGGATATATATATATATATATATATATATATATATATATAATTAAGAGGTGGGTTACATCCACACGTGTGTACGTACGCATCTCAGCTTTTGTTGTTTGGATTGTTGTGTCGGCATCACAACAATTTTTGTCCCACTGCGTGTGTGCGTGTGTGTATGTATGTATACTGCCTCCTTCTTTCCTTTTTTTGTTGTTGTCATCTTCTCATTGCTGCCCGCTTGTGCCAAATTTGTTTTCTTTCTTTTTTTGCTTCTTTTTGTTCACTGACGCGGGCCATGCCTTCTGCTTCCCTCGATGTGTGAAAAAAACAAACAAAAAACAGCAAAATACAAATGAGACAAGCAATGAGGAGAGCGAGGGAAAGAAGTATGCGTGTTTGTGTGTGTGTGCTTCTTTTTTTTTTTTTGTCTTCCTTTTTTATATATTTGACTCAGCGGATGAAACGATATTTGATGCCTCCCTCCTCCCCTGTTTGGAAAGCCACGTCTTCTCACTTTGCGTGTGAGTGTCGTGCTGTCCTCCTCCTCCCTCTTTTTTCTTTTCTTTTATTGTTGTTGTTGTTGTTTCTTTTTGCTTTCTTTCTTCTTTCTGTGTGCTGCTTGTGTCGCCTCATTCCTCTTTTTTTTTTTCTTTTTTTTTTTCTTTTATTTTCTTTTATATTTTTCTCACATTTCCTCTTCTTTTCACGTTAAATGGCAGGTTTTGGAGTGCGTGCGGCGTGGCGGTGGGTGGGTGGGGTCGGCTGCAACTTCACACACACACATCCAAGAGAAAAGAAAAGAACAAAAAAAGAGCAAACAAACAACACGTTTCATTGCTTTGAGTCTGCCACACGGAATAGACATCACACGTGCTTTAGTTACATCTGTGTGTATATATATATTGAAAGAGGGAGGGAACGTGCGTGTGTACCTCTCGTAGTAACGGAGGCTGCGTCACCCCTTTTTTACTTCCTTCAAATACGAAGAAAGACAAGGGAGAATAGAATTATTGGCTGAGGAAAAGGGGGGAAGAGAAGAGGGGTAAATAATAATAATAATAATAAACATCAGGAGTTAGTGAAAAAAAAAGAGGGAAGAATACATAAATAAGTCTCTTTTTTTTTTTTTTTTTCTTTCTCTATATTATAATACACTGCATATGAGTGGCGGTGGTCAGTCTAGACGCAGTTCTATCGATGTTCTTATTCGTGTGCGCCCACTGCGGGCGGAGTTGCAGGAAATGAAGTCCGCTTGGGACATTAGTGCCTCTACACTGCGAGAGAAGGGCAATCCGGATTCTCTCTTTACTTTTGACCACGTTTATGGCACGGACACAACAACGCAGACGTTATATGAGTGCAGTGTGCGTAACAGTATCGTTACAAATGTTGTCAAGGGGTACAATGGAACGGTGCTTGCATATGGTCAGACAGGCAGCGGCAAATCCTACACCATGCTGGGTGGTAGTGTTTCTTGGTGATTACAGCAGCCCAGATGGAATTGTCACATTTGCAGTGCGTGATTTGTTTTCAGATATTGAACAGGAACAACAACGAAATCCTTCTATGCGTGTGACAGTGTATGTGACGATGGTTGAGATCTACAATGAACAGTTGCGAGATCTTTTGGTTCCACCAGGTGCGGCAACGTCGCCCTTATCGATACGAGAAAATGAACACGGTGTTTATGTACACAACGCCATCAAACGACAAGTTGCGAGTGCACGGGAGTGCGTTCAGGTGATCCACACGCATGCCGCTGCTCGAGTGTCTGCATCCACTGCCATGAATGAAATGTCAAGTCGCTCACACTGTGTGGTTCGTATACTTGTGGAGAGAATCGTTCCTCTTGAAGACGTCAGCGATTTCTTCTCCATGAGCAGCGAGGAGGAGGGGGAAAACGGCGACGGCATGAGACGAAAGATTGTTGCCGCGCTTAATTTGGTCGACCTCGCTGGGTCGGAGCGTGTCGCAAAGACGGGCTCAACGGGGGTGCGGATGGTCGAAGGCGGCCACATCAACAAGTCGCTTACAATCCTCACGACTGTCATCAGTCGCCTGACGGAAATGTCGGGTAGCGGGAACGGCAGCAGCGGGGCGACGCCAACATTTGTCCCGTACAGGGATTCGCGTCTCACACACCTGCTGAAGACGGCGATTGGAGGAAATTCCTTGACGGCTGTCTTTTGCTGCATCACGCCGGCAGTGCAGCATGTCGATGAGTCGCGTAGCACGTTGCAGTTCGCGGCGCGCGCAAAAGCGATTAAAAACAAAGTCTCCGTAAATGAGGTGGCGGATTCCAAAACAAAATTGCGAATGATGGAGGCGGAAATTCGGCGCCACAAACGTATGATGCTGGCGACAACAATTTACTTGTGGAGCAAGAACGTGCGTATCAAGCATCTTCAAGAGAAGTTGGAAGAATTGTGTCACCTCGGGGCTGCAGATCCTGCTGCTGCTGTTGCTGCTGCTTCTGGTGGTGGTCCTTACGCCCTGCGGACGACGCCCAAGGAACAGCAGCGTGTCATCATTGAAGAACTCACGCGGCAAAACGGAGTGCTTCAGCAGGAACTGGCTGAGGCACGAGAGGCTCTGGAGCGACAGCTGGGCCCGGAGAACAAGACCCTGGCGGGCATACAAGTCACCGCTGCCGTCGCCATGGGCCTTGCTGATGACGGTGAGAAGCAACAGCTGCGTGCAGATGTGCGTGATTTAGAGCAAATGTTGAAGGAAACGCTGGATGAGAAGAGTGCGATCCAGGCCTCCATGGATGAATTGGACAACTTCTGCAAAGAGCTGGAGGAGGAAAACGCGGCGCATGCGTCTGCCAACAAAAAACTTCAGACGACATGTCAGGAGTTGCGGAAACTTCTTGACGCCAAAGAAGGCGCCGACTGCGCCGCCATGGAGGAGGTGAATCTGCTGAAGGAACAACTTTCCAAGACGCAGTCGAATTTGTTGGAGAAGGGTCGTGGAGATGAATACCTGCAACAGCTAACAAAACTTCACATTGAGCACCAGGAGCTCCAGTACGCCCACCACCAACTTCAGGAAAGGCACAATCGCGAAATGAATGAAGCCGGCGTTGAGATGGGGGAGCTGCGGAGGAAGATTGATGAACTTGAGGATGAGATGGCAGAGTTGCGGGATGCGAACAAGCTACAGAATTCCTACCTCTGGCGACTGCTCAGTGTGGCGTCCGTCGTGTCACGCGGCAAGGCGGTGGATGGGGATGAAATCACGTCCACTGTTCGTGGCGCACAGGTGGACGCAGCCGTTAAAACGCTTACAACCTTTGTACAGACATCGCTTGAAAAAAATCCTGCTTCTTTTGGGTCACACAATGACGTACAATTGACACCGCCGAATTGGAAACCTCAAGACGAGCACCAACAGGGAATTATTGGGAACGGTGGGAATAAAAACGACAATAGCGAAGATAATACTGTGCTCTTGAAACGTATTGACGAGCTACAGAAGCAGCTGCTTGCAAAAGATGCTCAGCGAGATGTCATTATAGACAGCAAACTGAAGCGTATGCAGAATCTTGCTTTGCGTCTTCACACAAATAACGCAGCGTTTGTTGAAGAGCTGCGTCGGTCCTATGCACTTTGCGAGGAGTTGTTTCGCTTTGTAGAAAAACAACCGAAGCTGGCACCAAAGTTGGCGAAGGCGGGCCTTGAGCCCATGTCCTTCAAGGCAGCCATCGATCGTGCTTTACAGTCCAAAATTCCCACAAAGCCGTACGGCCACAATTGAAGGCAACGGTCGCCGACTCGAAGAATTGACAGAGAGGGAAATGTAGAGAGCGGAGTTGTAAAATAAAACACACAGACACAAACATACAAAAAGACGAAACAAAAAAACAAAAACAAAAACAAAACGACATGGGCAAACTTCTCTACACGCGATTCTAACGAGGTTGCGTTATAATTTGTAGGGACAGGGATGTCGCTGTAAGGGTGAGCACAAAGTTTTAACTCCGCCTGTCTGTTTTGCCGTGATGCCACCAAGTGCCAGCTTCTTTTTATCGTTATTGCTTTCACTATCCGCATATATTACATATACATCAATATATATATATTCGTGTGTGTGTCCCACGTGTTTCTATTGGAGAAGGTGTATATGTGACGCATTTTGGTATCCCATTTTGTTTAATATGAGAGTGTGAATTGATATTGCACTTGCGTTTTTTTTTTTTTTTTTGCCTGCTCTTTTGTTTTTCCTTGTTGCGCTTTTTGTTGTTCTCATCTTCACATGCAGGTGCTGTTGATGAAGGGGCTGCAGAAGGCTGCGCGTCATGGCAACTACGCGACACAGTTCTGGACACGGCCCGATCACCCACCCTATCGCACGCGCCGTGCGATGCTGACGGCACACTCCAGAAAAGCCATTAAGCGTCGCTTAGTTTTGCCACTTGATGCGCATGACTGGGGCCGTGCCCTTGAAGTGCTCGATGCCGGTTATGCGAGACTTGGCCGCACTGCGGAGGATTATCAAAGGGTCATCCGCGGTGTTGCCAATGAGACGGCACCACAGCGACGTGGGGATGCATTGCACACGCTGAACGCGCTACGGGACAAGGCGTATATGGGCGAGATTGGGTCTAGTGGACTCTGGGTCACACTTGTGTGGGCGTATGCTCGTCTCCGCTATCCACGCGAAGGGTACGAGTGTTTGCTGCAGGGGGAGCGGCGCTTTTGTTTTTCGCCACTCACAAAACAGCACTTGGGCGAAACGCTGTTGCCGCTTTTGGCGGAACACGGCATGTTGGATGAGGTAAAGTACGTTGTGGAAAACTTCATGGGTACAGGTGGGAGCCGTCACGATCGAGCGCGTGTAGCAAGTATTTTAGCGGAGGCAGCCGCCCGAAGTGGGTCTTGGGAGCATGCCATTGCTGCATTACACCCCGAGACAACCACCGCGATGACAACACTCAATCCGCATACATTAGCCTTTCTGTTCGTTTCAGAGGAACTGAGCGAAGGTCAGGAAGAGGCACCGGAGACACCGCGTCGTGCGAGGCAAATTTCAAAAGAGGCGCTGAGATGCATGATGTGCTCCATGGCTGACGATGGTCAGTGGGAGATGGCTCTGCAAAGCTTGCGGGAATTGGAACGACGCCAGGGTAATAATGACGAGAGGGATAATACCCATGACGCTGCAGGTTCGATAAAAAGGGGCCAAAAGCAACAAAAACAACAACAGGAACTGTCACTTTCAGAAAATGAGTTGCAACGGCTTCTTAATTCTTTGGGAAGCCGGCAACGATGGGAAGAGGCGACGGCGCTTTTTGTGTCGCAGTATTTTCCCGATAAGCCCGTAAGAGGCAATGAAAAAGTGCGACCATTGCAGTTGGCGACGTTAAACCTCCTTTTTGCTTCTTTCCCACGGAGTATGAGGGAGTTCCGTCTCGCAGCACCGGATGACAGGCTGGAGTCACACGGTTCCCACACCGACCCTCGCCAACAGGAGAATGAAACCGTGACGGTGGAAATTGACGCGTTACACCACCCGCAGCAGGCTGTTTCTTTGTTCGATCAAATATTTAGCCAACGGGATGACGTTTCAGTTACGGATTTGATGATGGTAACAGTGGGGCCCTCGTTGGTGCAGTTGGGACAATGGGACAGGGCGCTGCATTTGCTTCGGCAAACACCCGCCCTTTCAGCTGCCAAAACGCCCGTCTGCACGCTTGAGGTGCACCGAGAAGTACGAAGGCGTCTTGTAGCACTTCTTTACTACCTGCATGGTGCCATTTCACTGGAGTCACGGTACTACACTTTATATTATTTTCCCTTTGCTTTTCCAAAAGAAACATTCCAGGATCTTCCACCACCATCGGAGTTTTTGGCGCATTTGAGGCAACAGCGTGAGGAGGTGGAAAAAACGTCGATAACACCCTCTTCTGTGCCCAAGGTCTCTACGAGACGTCGTTTTACATCACGGCGATTGTCTGCCATTGTGCAGAATACGGAGAAACATGACGATGAACTCAGGCGTCGTCTGTTGCCGCTTTACGCTAACCGGGCGAACGCATTCCGCGGAGGGGACGCTGAGAAAGACCCACGGCCAATACCCAAAGGGCTACATGACACGGCGAACGGCTGGAATTTTTATGGCCGTGGCGGTGAGATGGTTTTCATGAATCACAGACGGACTGCGCATCCCTTTTCGATGCATCCAAAATTGATGCGATCAATAACGGATCCGTACCGCGGATGGAACCCGATGCAGAACAGCTGTTGGGCCCATCGTGAGCGTGTGAGGAAGTGGAATGGAAGTAGCGCAGTCTAAAGGCCCGGATTTGTTTTGAGGCGGCTGTATTGGACATGTAGTGCTGATGATGCTGGCGGTGATGTTTGCAAAAGGTTTTGCAGCAGGTTTTAAAGAACATTCCGCCGCCTTTTTTTTACTGTGTTTTTCTGTGGGCGTTCTCTCTCTCTGTGTTTTTTTTTTTTCTTCTTGTTGTGTTTCCTTTGCTTTTTCTCCTTTGCCTACGCGCACATTGGACACAACGCGGCTGTGGCTCCTGCTGGAAAAGTGAAGGAGGCAGTGGAGCACAGGCACGTTGCGAAAGGTTTTTTTTTTTGTTATTGTGGTGGTCGAGAACACCAAAGAAGGAGGAGGTGCAGCAGCAGAGAGGCAGAGCATTGTTGAAGAGGGAAGAAGGCAAAATAAGGCCTACTTTGCTTCCAAGTCTGGAGGGTGCTGGATGAAGCATGTCGCTTCCCTGCACGAACAGTCTTCTCTCACGGGTGACAAGCATCGAGAAGGCGGCTGAAGTGGCCAAAAAGGCCGCACCCAAAGTCGTGGAGCTGTCGGAGGAGGCGAAGACACTGCCACCTCATGTCCGGGGCGTTACAGATCCGGGAAAGCTCAACGCGCAAACGCCTTTTTTCAAATGCCCGCCATGGGCTGGGCTACCCGCCGTCGCATGTCATCTGCAATGCTCTCGTGATGGGGTCCCATTGCCATCGTTTGGGCTCGAACGATTTCCCTTTTACTTGTTTGGCCGAAGCCGTGTGTGTGACTACGTTCTTGAACATCCTTCGATCAGCAGCATTCATGCTGTTTTGGTTTTTCACGGTGATCAGCAGTGTTTTGTATTGATGGACTTGGGCTCAACGAACGGCACCAAGCTGAATGGCTCCCGCATTGAAAAAAAACGGCCTCTTCCCGTTCCTATTGGTAGTTGCATTCAGTTTGGTTTCAGTACTCGCATGTATAAACTTTCTCGGGGTCCACCTCCCTCATCGAAACGTTTGCGGGAAGAGCGAGGGGAAAAAGCAGTTGTGGAGGAGAAGGCAGGGAATATGCGTTCTGGTAATGTTGATGTTAAGAGCCGCCATGTAGGGGATGTTGCCAGCTCGAGCACTCCCATCGCGGCTAAAACTGCGGATGAGACGCAGGGGGACGAGGCGTTTGTCGCGGGAACGGAAAACCATCAACGCGAGGTGAATGTTGCAAAGTGGGAAAATGGTGTTTCTGCTGTGGTTGCCACCCCTTATCCTTCTCATTCTTCTTCTTCTTCTTTGGCGGTGACTGCGACAGCGATGGATGTTACAAAGCAACCCAGCACGGTTGCGGCTTCTGACTCTCTTCTTCCCGTGACACCACCGCCGCCCGTGAAGCGGCATCTGTATCAGGTGCTTATCAAGCACAAGGATGTGCGTCGTCCTGTTTCTCTTGCTCCGCGTAACAAGGGCGATAAAATTACGCGGTCAAAATTGGATGCGTTAACATTGGCAGAGGCCATTCGTGCACGTCATGGCGACCAGACATCGGTGTGGTCACTCGATGAATTTACTGCGGTGGTCCGTGAGTACAGTGAGTGTGGTTCTGCAAAACGAGATGGGGATTTGGGCATGGTGGAGAGCGGCACTTACACAGATAAATTTGACGCTGCGGCATTTTCGCTTGGTTGTGGTATGGTGAGTGCGCCGGTGGAGACAGAACTCGGTGTGCATCTTATTTACCGCGCGGAGTAGAGAAGGATACACTTTTTTTTTTTTTCTTTTCCTGCTGGCCGTGGTGGCAATGGATAAGGTTTTTTGCCCGCCCCAATGCTCTTTTTATAATGCATTTCCATAAGAACAAAAAAAAGACGGCTCACGGCGTTGGTAAATCGACCTAAATGGAAGTGCTGTTTGGCCGACGTTTTTTGTCTGTTCGTGTCTGTGTGTTTGTGTGTGGGGTGACGGAATGTCCAGGCTTTTTTGAATTATTATTATTTTTTTTTTTCTCTTTTTTCCCAAAATTGACGGGCTCAGCTACGTGAAAGTGCCGTGTTGGCAATATAAAGGGGTCTGCGTCAAAGTGACACCCGAGTAGGGGACGGGAAGTTACGCCCAATACGTGGAAAGAAGAAAAGGGAAGTGGGTAAAGACAATAAAAACCACATCAACAAAAATAACAAAACAACAACAACAACAACAAATATATATATATATATATATATATATATATATATAGTTATACGGAGCCCCTATTAATTGCCATGGGCCCTATTGCCAAATGGTTGGTGATTGATCTCCTTGAACACTCGGATCCGCAACATTTTCTTCTTGTGAAGGACGGTGTCACTGTGAAAGGCAACCGCGCGAGGAATGGTGTGGGTCACGTGGGGCGAATAATACTTATACGGAAGGAGCAGACTGAATGTGAGGTGGTTGAAGATGAGAATGACACAAAAGACTCCGCTCCGTCTTTGAACCTCCTATTCGCGGAAGAGATGACAGGAAACGAGGTCCCTACCCCATCCAAGCGGCAGGAGAGCGGAGAGTATTTTTTAATTTGGGCACCGTATTCGTTTTTTGAATTTTGCACTCACAATGCGTTGCGGCCGAGACCCGATGTTTCCCCTGGCGCTACTGCCTCTACTGTGGAGTCCTTAGAGTGGAGGTACATTATGTGTGTGGCTGTAAAGAACATTGCGAAGATCCGGAGGTGCTCTCTCCCAGACGGAACGCGTGTGATTGAATTGTTTTTTCTTGACGGCACGACGGGGCATCCGCTGATCTTCCTTAATGGTGGCGTCACGAAGTTCCTTGACGCTTTAAGGGGCATCGCACCCCTGCGGCAGAGTAGCGTTACCGCGGACGAGTTCCTTTTGTACGCCAATGACGATGCGGAATTGGGAGCCAATGACGGTTACAGAAGTGTGAGTAGGGCCAGAAGTAGCGGCGGTGGGCTCAACAGTGAGAAGCGAGCTTCATTTGATGGGCAAGAGCGTGGTGGTTTCTATTCTGTGCCGGCTTTCTTGGAAGGCCTCACGCAGCCCGATGACATGGAGCAGATGCTGTATGAACGCCGTGATGTATCCCGTATTCCACGTCTTTTTGCCACACTCGCCACGAAAATCGGTGAGGTGCGTTTGCGGCGCTCCCGGCATTTGATACAGAATTATGGAAAGAGCATGTCCACTTACCCCGTCTCCTCTTCCCCCACGCATACAGAAGACTCGCGGACGGAGGAGCCGTTTGAGTTTGTGGAAGAACTTATCCCAGTGGAGTACCAAACCCCTCAGATTCCTGAGCCACGAAACCGTACAATGGGACCCCCACTCACAGCGGAGATGTGGAACAGCTGTTTCATTGGAGAGGAACGTCGCATCGACCGGAACCGTTACGCCAAGGCAATGGCGATTGCCCATGCGGGTGGAATAGAAAGGGACATTCGGTTGCAGGTGTGGTGCTTTGCACTTCACATCTACCCAGATGTGTTGGAGTCTACAGAGGCTCAGAGACAGTCTGTACGTGACGTCTATAAGAGCATGTACGAGCGACTTAAGGAGCAGTGGAAGGGCATATTTCCAGAACAAGAATGCCACTTTTCTGCCTTTCGTGAAATGCGTACCTCCATTGAAAAGGATGTGATACGCACGGATCGGTCTCATGAAGCCTACGTGGATGCTGATGGCGTGAAGCAACGCATGCTGTACAACGTTTTAATGACACACGGGATGTTAAATTTTGATTTGGGCTATTGTCAAGGGATGAGTGATGTTCTCTCCCCTATTGCCATTTTGGCCGAGACAGAGGAGGAAGCATTTATGTGTTTTTCCCGTTTCCTATCTGAGCGTTGCGAGGGTAACTTCCGGAAGGATGTTAAAGTAGGCATGAAACAGCAGCTGGAAATGTTGCAGGTACTTGTTCGTTTTTTTATACCACGGCTTTACAATCATTTGGTACGGCAATGTGCAGAGGAGATGTCATTTTGTTTTCGCTGGTTACTCATGTTTTTTAAACGTGAATTTTCCATTGATGACACAATGCTATTGTGGGATGTCATTCTGACTTGCCCCTACACGCCACAGTTTGAGTTGTTTGTCACAGCAGCACTACTGAAGGCCCTGTCACCGCAGATACTCGAGCAGCACCTGACACACGATGAACTTCTGAAGTTTACAAACGGCATCGCTGGGAAGTTAGACGTCCGGCATGTTATCCTGTTGGCGCAGGATTTCTACGATGGAGTTGCCAAATGCGCCATGGCAATGGAGCGGAAAGAAGCCGCCGTGGGGAATAACCACCGACCGGCAATAAGTGAAATTTTTTCGTTGTTGACCCTTGCTGAGTTGGAGGACTCTCATGCAGTCTCGAGACTTGGCTTTTGATAGTCAATAGTTTTCAGAGCGCATATTCTTCGTGTTTGTGTGTGTCTGTGCGTGAGGGAGTGAGTGAGCGCTACGAGTAAAAGAAAATGAGCAGTTTTTATTTTTTTATTTTTTATTTTTATTTTTGCTTCTTTGTTTTTGCGTGTGAAATGACAAGAAACACATCAAAAATAACAGGAGGATTGAAGAATAGTGAGAGAGAAGGAAGGAAGGAAGGAAGGAAGGGAGGATGAAGGATGGAAGGAAATGTAAATGAATGGAGGGGAGAAAAAAAAGGAGGGGGAAAAAAAAAACTCAGGGGATGAGCTTGAGGGGGGTGAATTGTGGAGTGAGCGCGTAGTTGCTGGGCCCATGCCTCATCGCTTGTTGTATTTCACTGGTTAAAGTTTTTTTTCTTTCAACTCCACTTCCTTCCGCTACATTCATGTGTATGTGTCTGCGTATGTCAATTCTTCATTTAGTGAGGCCTCACATGCGGCGACATTTGGCTGTTTTTTTTTTTTTTTTTTTTTGGGAGGGGGGCTTTCTTCTCTTTATTTGCTTCTGTGTGTATCTCTGCAGGTGATGTTGCAAAAGTCTTCCATTTTAATTTTTTGCTGTTTTTTGTGACGTTGTTTTACGTGGGTCTCTCTGTGTGTTTGTGCCAGCGAGTGTGTGTGTGTGTGTCCGTGCCGCCACCACTCAATAAGGCACAATGTCGAAGCAGCGTCGGGAAAGTGCTCTGGCTGTGGTGCAGCGTCTCAATGCTTCTCCTGTCAGACTGCTTCCACCTATCCTTCATAACGCGACAGATGGCGGCTTGCGGCAGAGTGATGTCCTCGTTGTCGGTGGAGCTCCAGGCACCGGCAAGACGACGTGGGCGTATCGTGTTGCCGCACAACATCTTAGCTGCGGCGGCGTCGTCACATTTGTATTTGTTCCTGGAAGCGGAAACTTTCAAATGCGCCGCTTCATGGAGTACCTCGAGATGTTTGTGGTAACACCGGACCCCTGTGCTCTTATTCCCCTGTGTATTAGTTCTGTTTCCGTGGCAGGCGACTCTGTGATGGAGACACGTCGCAAGGCGCTGTTGGGCGCGCTGGACCGCCTGGAGGTGGTGCACTGCGTTGACATCAACGATTTCTTTGTTTACTGCAATCACGGGGCCGTTGGTGCCTCCTCCGGCGTGGGATCACGGGAAGTGGCGGTTCCGCTTTTCATCGTGGAGGGGTGCGGCGGAAAGGGCAGCTACCTCTATCACTTGGAACGAGCCATTGGCCACGCGGTGCCACTCTCTCATTGGTTAATTGGCTCTCTCCAGCGTCGGAGGCGGTGTGCGCTTATTATTATAGAGGAGTGGGGGTCCGAGGGTGTGGCCATGGCTACACGGCGTCGATCTACGCGTGAAGAGAGCTTTTCCCCGTTTGTGTTGGCAGTGGAACAGGAGTCCGAGTTTCTTCGTTATTTGCATACAGAGACGCCGCAGAAGAAGGCTGCATACCGCCACCATTTTGCAAAACGGCAGCGAGCTGGGTCGACGGTGACCATGACTGCCAGTAATGCCGGCAGTGGCTGTACCGCGTCCACACAGGTGCCCTTGTCATCGGATTTAATGGTAAGAGATTTAAACTCGCACTTTGCGGGGAGTCTACGTTTGTTTTATCTCTACACACAGATGGTATCGGTGGCAACTAGCGGGCTCTCCCCCGTGGCAAGTCTGTTGCAGTGGCGTCTTACAGAACAAAATGCGGGTGACGGAAACAACGAACACACGGAGCTTCCGACAGAATCGAACCGGCAGCAACGCTGGCCGCCGCCGCCGCCGACAGAACGGACTGCATGTCTACGAGGGGAGGTACTTTGCGTGGCTCAGTTGTAGGGTGATTTACACCACACTGCTCCACTTCATCACTGCAAATGAAGACGCAGCCGGGAACATTGACATCTTTCTTTGTGGTGTTTCTTTCCAGAGATTGAGTGTGAGTGTGTGGCTGCTCTTTGCAGGGGAAGCAAACTGAATTTTCTATGGAGAGGCGTGTTATTTGAGCCGAGGCTCTCTTTGGGAAGACAAATTTTTTTTCCCTCCCACCGAACCCAAAGTTCATTTCTTTCCTTCTTCCCTCTTTTGTCTTTATTTCTCTCTAATTACAATAATAATAATAATAATAATAATAATAATAATAATAATCAGTCCTTTGCAGTATAAGGTACCACTCGCGTTGTTGGGCCGGACGGTATCTAATGAGCAGCAATAGTGACGACCAGCTTGTGCTCGGACTTTCAACGGACAATCTCGGTGACGCGCCGAACACCGCGGATTTGCATGGTGGAGGAGAGATGGAAGGGGAGGAGGATGTGTATCTGGACCTGGGGCCGACCAGCGACAGGGAGAGCAATGATGACGAAGTGGGTGACGCTGGCGATGATGAGGGTGCTGAGGGCGAAAGCCAGTCGGGTGGAGCAGGAGGTGGGGAGAACGACAGCAGTGTTGCGCAGCTTTCAGACAAGGCGCTGAGGCGTATTAAAAGCAAGACGGAGGCGAGGGCGCTGGGGCGGGATTTGTACAAGCGGTGGAAAAAACTAAGAAGGCGGAGCAATAAGGAGGAAAGAAAAAGACATCGACACCATAGCAAGACGAAAAGGAAGAGCAAGCGAGAGGAAAAGAAAAGTAAGGACAAAAAGAGGGATAGGAAGAGGCGTCGTCGAGTCGATGATGATGATGATGATAAGGACAGCGAACACCATGGTGGTGAGAGAAATGACGACTCGACTGAGGACGGGTATGATCGTGTTCACGAAAAGGGTAGAAGAGCAGCTGCTACCAAAAAGAAACGGAAGCGCCCCCGTGGCGAAAACCCTATTGCCCTTGGGGACGAGGATTTGGGTGCGGCACCTTTTGCTGACCTTGATGAGGTGCTTCAAGTGGAGGAGGCGGCAGCAAAACATTCCGGCGGACAAGGGGTCAAGGGCGTCCACACGGAACCGAAGGTGAAGAAGCTCACGGCGGATGCACAGCGTGATGTCTTTCGAAAAATTGCTGCGGGCGTTGTAAATACCATGCGTGAGGCACGACTGAAAGATGAGGTGGAAATGAATGAGCGCCGTCCTCCGCTGCATCGAGTGGCCATCCGTGAAAGTGTCATCTCACAGTGCCGTCGCGAGGCGCTGCGCTCGTTTCTCATTGAGGAAGGCATCCTGCAGGAGCTCAGTACGTGGCTGTACGACTTCACTCGTAACGAGTTGGCGGCTTTTGAATTGCGTTCTGACGCACTAGATATTCTTTTGAGTTTCCCAATCGACGGCGAGCTGGAAGTTGGGGTGGCACGCAACGGCGATGAAATTTTGGACGCCTTCACTGGAATGACGCGTGAACACCTCATTCACACGGACCTTGGCAGTGCAGTTAATGCCCTGCGGCAGTCAAAGCAGGAGGTGCACCAAAACCGTGCCAAGGCCGTACGACTACTCGAAAGGTTAAGCCGAGCGATGGCAGGTGGTGTCCGAAGTGGACGCCGCGGTGGTTCTGACGGCGTCCGTGGATCACAAGCCGGAGAAGGTGGCCTCTCCAGTACTGTGACTTGGAAGTGTAAGGAGGACCCGACAGTGGCACCACCTTTCCACACGGTGCAGACGGGAACGGAAGTTTTTCAAAGCGCGCTTGCAAGGCCTGACCCGCTTGATCCCTTGTCGTACTTGCGGCTGCTACCGCGACGGGCACCAAAAGTACATGTGACCAACTTGGGAGGGAATGTTGGTGTAGGAGGATAAAAGTGTCCTTTTCCCGTTCAACGCATTTTTATGTCTCTCTCTTCTTTTTTTTTGTTTGTTCTACAATTTCTTTGAGTGCTTCTGTAAAAATGTCTCTATGGCTAGCATTCTTTAAGGAATGCATCTTTTTTTTTATTATTTTTTTTAAATAATATCTTTTCTGTATTTGTGGGAGCTTGTGGCGTTTCCACATTTGATGGCGGTGAATTCTTTTTTTTTTTTTTTCTGGGCGGAGGGCCACTTTTGAAATTTTTACTGCAAACTTTTTCTTTTTCTACTTTTTTAAACTTTTTTTTCGCTTTTTTTTGTTAGCTGAACGAATATTTAAGAGAATTACACATATTTATAAGCAAAGAGCGACTCAGAATATTTACATTCATATATTATTTTGGTTTATCTCTAATTACTGGAGGAAAGACGTGGCGGGGGAAAAATGAAAATTGGAATTATTGGTTGCGGCAACATGTGCGAGTGCATCCTTAATGGACTCGTTTTGAGTAAGGAGTATCCGCCAGAGGAAATTTGTGTTTTTAACCGAACCGCCGCGAACCTCAAACGATTGTGTGAGCAGTATGGGGTTCAGGCTGGGAAGGACGCGGTGGATGTTGTCCGAAGGTCGAACGTCGTAATGCTTGGTGTTAAGCCGTATGCCGTTTGTTCAGTGGTCGAGAAAATACGGGACGCCGTCACAGATGACAAAATCATTCTTTCCGTTGCGGCGGCCATCAAGATTTCCTCGATAGAAAAGGCATTGGGACATGCACGGAAGGTCGTGCGCGTGATGCCGAATGTTCCGACGCGTGTGGGTGTCGGTCTCACTTCTGTCACACCAAACGCCCTGATGACACGCGAAGATACGGCGCTGATTTTAAAAATGTTCAGCACTTTGGGGAAAGCGGTGGAAGTGGCGGAGTCGCAGATTCACGCGGTAATTGCCGTGGCCGGCTCTGCTCCCGCGTATGTGTTTATGTTTATGGAGGCGATGGGCGATGCGGCTGTGCATGGTGGACTCCCCAGGGATCAGGCATACGAGTTTGCGGCGCAGGCGGTGATGGGTGCGGCGAAGATGCTACAGGACAGTGACATGTCGCCAGCACAGCTGAAAGACATGGTGTGCTCACCTGGTGGTACGACTATTGAGGCGGTGCGGTCGCTTGAAAAGGGAGGTCTGCGTTCCACCGTTATTGAGGCCATGATTGCATGTGCTGATCGCTCCAAAGTGCTGGAGGCCAATCTAAACTAGGGATTTCTCATTATCGTCTTACGACTTGGATGGGTTTACTTTTGGAGGAATTCTTTTTTGTTTGTTTTGTTTCCTACAATTGGAGTAAATGTATTTCTTATACATATTGGTTTTGGGTGACGCCAGGAACGAGTCTGAGGAAAAAAGGGGATGGTGCGTGAAACAGTCGTGAGCCCAAACGGCTGGTGTGAAGGCGCCGTCTTCATGAAAAAAGGGGGAGGAAAAAAAAAAGAGGGGTTTAGGGGTCAATGAAATGATGGGTCGTTATGGTAGCCAAAAGGGAATATGTGATGTACTGGGACTCCGCTCGGTTGTGGAGTTCTGCTCCCATTCGGTCTGTGTGTCTGTGTGCCCTGTACTCACGCCTTTTGTTTACTTCCACTGCATCCAGCACTGTTTCTCCCCTATTTGTCCCAACTTTAATACATGTGCGGCAAAAGGGGGATAAAGAAAAGAAGGGGAGGGAGAAAAAAGAGGTTTTTTTTTTTTTTTTAGTTTTTGTGAAGGGTGGGCGTGGCACGGCGGAAAAGGAGCAAAATAGAAGAGGAAAAGGGAGGAGCAACAACAACAACAAAAAAGGAGTGAAAGAAAAAAGGGGTGGGTTTGAAATATGAGGAAATTGTCGGGGGATTTAAAGGCCACGGCTGCCACACCACTCACACCTCCTGTCACAACGCCTCAACCGCAACCAGACGGTACGGACCGCAGCAAGAGTGCGGGTGGCCAAGCGACATATGAGCCGCTGCATGTCTTGGGTCAGGGGTCCTTTGGTGTTGTCATGATGGCAAGAGTGCGGGAAACAGGGAAGATGGTTGCTGTAAAGAAGGTTCTCTTCGATCGTCGTCTGCATCACCGCGAGCTTTTGCTTTTGCGTGATCACCTCGGTCCTGGCACACACGCTGGGCAGGCTGGAACAGGAAATCATGATGACCCAGGCAAGGAAGCTGGAAAAACCGATCCCAGTAACACCAATAATTCCGCGGGGGAGGTGGGGTTTACGCCACTTGGGGATTTGGCGTCAGTTCCCACCACAGTGTCATATCATCCGTGTATTGTGAGACTGTTGGATCATTTTACTGTAGCGGGTCCCAATGGAGAGCAGTACCTTTATATTGTGATGGATTACCTGCCATTGGATATTCACCATTTACACCATATTTATCTGCGGCAAAAACAGCAGCGGATGCCATTTATTTTAGTAAAAGTTATTATGTTTCAGCTTGCACGGGCTTTAATGTTTCTGCATTTGCGCGGTATATGTCATCGTGATGTCAAACCTAGCAACTTATTAATTGACCCAGAAACGGGAGTATTGAAGCTTTGTGATTTTGGTAGCGCCAAGGTGATGCAGCCTCAAGGCGTGAATGGCCCGATAGAGAAGAACGTATCATACATTTGCTCCCGCTACTACCGCGCTCCGGAGTTGCTGCTCGGTTCATTGTACTATCACTTTCATGTAGATATGTGGGCGGCGGGTTGCGTGCTTGCTGAGCTGCTTTGCGGTGAGGTGCTGTTTAAGGGAGCTAGCACGGTGGATCAAATGGCCGAGATATTTAAGGTTCTTGGAGCTCCATCACGTCAGGAGCTTCTGGCACTAAATCCACAGGGCGCCGAGGCTCTTTTTCACGCCACCGGGGCCGGACTTGAAGTGACACCAACGTCGGCGGCGAATACTGCCACCAGCAGTGATTACCTGCAGCGTTATCACGCCCTTCGCATAAAGGCACTTCAATGGCAAAATGTGCTTCCGCCAAACACACCACCAGCCGCGGTGTCGTTAGTGGGAGAGTTACTGCGATATACACCGGCCGAGCGACTGTCCGCTGCGGAGGTTTTGGAACATTCTTTTTTTGATGACATCTTCGCCGAGGATGCGTCCCTTCCAAATGGGGCACCGCTTCCTGTCAGCATGTTTGAGGTGACAGCCGAAGAGATGGAGGCGCTTCCGCCTTGGCTGCTGGAGCGCATGGCTTCCGCGGAGGCCTCCGCAAGACGACGGCATGTGAGTGCAGGTGGCAGCGGTAAAGTGGTGCCACCACAGAAGCGTCAAGAACAGGAGGGGCGAAAATAAACAAACAAACAAACAGCGAAAGCGAAACGAGGAAGAAAAAAGAGAGGTGAATGTGAATGGTTGGAATGGAATGGAATGGAGTAGGAAAAAAACAAAAAAACAAAAACAAAAAACAAAAAACAGAAGAAAAAAGACGTTGTCGCAGTGGCCGCTACACGAAAAGCGAGGGGGCCCGGAGTGAGTGGGCGAGAATACGGACTTGATGTGTAATGCGCATATGTTACCAGGGATCATGGCTTTTGTTTTTTCCAACAGTTTTTCTTTGGCCCCGGACCGCAGGTCTAATGCGGTGAGGACTAAGAAGAAGAGGATGTCAAAAAAAAAAAAAAAAAAAAAAAAAAAAAATAAGCAAAAAAAAAAGAAAAAAAGAAAAAAAAGAAACAAAAAAAGAAGAAAATGAAAATCTGAGGCGTTGCTGACATGAGCATCCACGCTGTCCGTCATCTTACAGGGAACGAACAAAAGGGGATTACTCTGTGTGCTGTTGCCCATATGACCGATGGTCAAATCAGCATGATGCGAGGGCTCACAGAGTGTGGGAGGATGGAAAAACGGGACAGAGAGGGGAGAGGCGAAACGGCGTGGTGAATGTTGTGGGAGAGAGGATGGGAGAAGGGGAAAATGGTTTTGACACGAGACCTTTTTTTTTTTTTTTTGTTGTTTGTTTCCTTTTTTTTATGGCTGCGCTTCAAAGTAAAAAAAAAAAAAAAGGCAAACGCGGGATAGGCGGTTTTTTTTTTTTTTTTTTTTAAGAATTGTGTTTGTTTCTCGCTGCATTTGTGCATCGTGTCTTTATATGTGTAACTAACGGAGAGGATGGGGATGGGAGGGGAGGGTCCATGCGCACATGCTTCCTCTTTGCCTTTATGCACCTTTCAGCAATATTGTTTCCATGGAGTGTCGCTTTCTTTTTTAGTGGTTTTTTCCCCCCATTTCTTTTTTTTTTCTTTTTTTTCTTGCTTGTTGACGTGCTTTTTTTTTTTTATTGTTGTCCTGATGCTTTAGTTTGCTTATCTCCTTTAATAATATTAATAATTAATATTAATTATTAATTATTATTATTATTGCTATTTTATTATTATTATTTATTTATTTTTTGCTGTTGACGTGTTGCTATCGCTTGCGTTCTTTGTTTGTGTGTTTGTGTTGCTTTTTCTTCTCTTTTTTTTTTCTCTCTCTCTCTCTCTGTGTGTGTGTGTGTGTGTGTGTATGCCGCCGTAGGGAACTGCGAACAGATTGCTTCATGTATCGCGGTGTCATTTTAACTCCGTTGTTTGTGTGTATGTAGCGGGGTTGGGAATGGGTGTAACTGGGCGGGGGAGGAATACACGCTTCTGCCCGCATATATATATCTACATATATCTACATATATATATATATTATTGGCTCAGAATCATTCTTTTATTAATAACACCTAAAAATCATGGATACTTGTGTATGTATG